AGATAGACCTGATGGAAGATAGTTCTGACCCGTGTCGGACCGAGAAAAATCTATCGGAAAGAAAGGATTGTAGAATTAGATAATATGTAGGTGGGAGTATTGTCTTGAGTTTAAAGAGAAGACCCTGGTGCCAAACTCTGTCAAACGCTTGAGCAACATCCAGAAATACGCCAGTTGCATATACTTTCTGCTCTAGTGCTGTAGATATGTAGTCCGTTACTCTATGTAGTTGGTGTATAGTTGAGTGATGTGCCCTAAATCCAAATTGATGGTCAGGTATTATTTGGGTGTTTGTTAGTATATCAACAAGTCTTTTGTTCAGTAAGCTTTCAAAAATTTTGGAACAGATAGGTAGTAAGCTGATTGGTCGGTATGAGGAAGGTGAGTTTTTGTCCTTTTTAGGCTTGTGAATCATTATTATATGTGAGTATTTCCACTGTAGGGGAAATTTAGTTGTCCTCAGTATTGCATTATAAATAGTTGTCAAAAGCACTAGAGCTTTTCTAGGCATTTGTTGGAGCACGTCAGCGTTAATCAAGTCATGTCCAGGAGCTTTTCTTTTAGGCAACTTTTTGATTTGTTCAGCAATCTGTGAAGGTGGGAATGAAATAGGAGGTGAAGTTAGTTGTAAGGGCATATTTAAAGTGTTTAGTACGTTGTTATCGTGCATAGTGTTAGTGAAGTCTGTGTGTGGTACAAAAACAGAAGAAAGATATTCGGCAAAGAGTTCTGATTTTTCTCCGTCCGTCACGGCCCAGGAATCATCTTGTCTTCGAAGGGGTGCTGACACTTCACGATGTTTAATAAGGTTTTTGGTATGTCTCCACAAGCTTCCATCGTCGGTTGAGAGATTTCTGATGTAGTTGTCATAGGTTGTTCGTTTGAATTTTCCAATGTGTCGCTTGAGTTCATTATTAAGTCTGTTGTAAGTTCGTTTATCTGATGGGATTCTGTCAGTCTGCCATATTTTGCGAGCTCTCCTCTTCGCTCTGATCAAGTCCCTTATGTATTGTGGGTACATTGGTAGGAACTCATATTTTTGAGGTTTTGCTACTGATGAAGACCATGCTGCTTCTTGGATATTTCGTGTGAAGTATTCAACGGCATCCTCAAGTTCTTCTTCGTTTTTAATGGATAGAGGAACAGAGAGAGCAGTGTCCAATTGGTTCCTGTACCTTTCCCAATCCATTATGCCATTGATCAGGGACAGTTTTTTTGTAGCTTCACAAGGCTCTTCAAACAATACCAAATGCAAAAGGGAATGATCAGAGCAAAGATCTGAACTCGTTGTTATAGTGTGAGGTGTTGTTCGGAGTCCTTTAGTTATGAAAAAATCGAGTAAGTCTGGTGTTTTCCGTCTAGAAGTTGGCCAGTACGTGGGTGAATTAGGTGATATTGTGTCTAATGAAAGCTCATAAAGAACATACCTAAGATTCCTTCCTCTTGGAGTAGATAGTCTGGATCCCCAGAACTGATCTTTGGCGTTGTAGTCGCCTCCTGCAACAAAGCATCTACCAAGACGTCTAAGGAAATTACTAAACATTATGGGTGTCAGAACATACCTCGGAGGGCAATAAACCGCAGCAAGAGTAATGTTTTGTTGTTGTGTTGATAGTGTAATGGCTGTAGCTTGAATCTCTGGTGTTATGGGTAATTGTAAAGGATTATGTTATAGAGTTGTTTTGATAATTATGGCAGTACCTCCATGTGAAGTTCCATCTGGGTGGTCAGTTCTGTAGATTTTGTAACCACGGATGTAAAATTTAGAATGTGGTGTCAGATGTGTTTCTGTTATTAGTGCAATGTCAATGCGTTTCTCGTGTAAGTATATGTCTAGTTCGGTTCTATGTTGATTCAGTCCGTTTGCGTTCCATAGTATAATAGACATGGAGCCCACAGTCGTCTGATTACGGGGCATATTTTTGGGTAAGAGCGAGAGTAGCCTGAGATAGCTGTTGTAGAAGACTGAAGAGGGGCTGTATGAGGTTATTGAGACCGCTAATCAAATGTATGATATCACCTGAGGAGGTTTCAATAGTAGGGAGCGTGTGGGCAATGCCCCTACTCATACCTTTAGGCCTTTGTTCTTGGTTCGTTGCCGGTGCTGGTTTTCGTTGCTGTCTCTACTGCTGTTGTTCTGGTCCTGAGGAAATCGGATGAGGGTATTGAGGCTGATGCAGTGGTGGGAACTCGTGTAGTTCTGGTGGTGGGGGTTGAACTCTAGGAGGCCTTTGTAGAGTATGGTTTCTTGTGCGGGTCTTCCTAAGCTCTTTCAGAGTTTCGCAACCTCTGTAGTTTTTAGTTACATTTACAACTGTATTACATAAATATATCTAGTAAATTTGGACATAATAGATATAATGACATGAATACACTTGCTGAGTAACTACCCAATGGTAGCACTCTAATGATATGACTACATTAGGAGATCACGGGGCCATCTTCTTTTCAGACGCCTCGGAGGGTTATCAGGAATTGATGAGGAAGCAAGGTTAGAAATAAGAGGGTTGGGATGAGTTTGAAGTTTATTATGAAATGATAGGTATCTGGATTGGGCCAGATCTGAAACATAAGGAACATTAAGATCTTTATGGATAATTTTATTAGTGGCAAAGTAAGAAGCATTGAGGATTTTACAAAGGATTTTAGATGGTTTTAAATCAGTTAAAATATGTAAACATACTTATATACAAATTAATATGTTTACTTTTAATTAATTGATCTTAATGTTAGATTATTATGTTATTTTAATCAATAATTGTTTTATAGTTCCAGACATATTTCATCTTTTTGTTTATTATAATTGTTCTTAGGGGACTAAATGTACCAGAATAAAATATACTTTTCTTCTTCATCTTCTTCTTCTTCTGATACCATTTTGAAATTGATTTTTGATTATTCACATTATAATTAAAAATCTATATGTTTCTATGATTCTAAAAATTATTTGACAACAATTAGTATTTAATATCAAAGAAATAGGAATTTATTCATATTGATATGAAATATAAATCGACATTGATTTGATGTAATTGATAATAAGAAACCCGACCTTAAGACATACAAAAAATCTTATATAAACCATGTTATGATTTCTTACAGAAGACTACGAAATTTAAGTTTTGTAGTTTAAATGTCAGACACGCTTTTTGTTGAATGGAAAGCGCTAACTAAAAAAAATATTTTATTTATGCTACAAATAATTGCTTCATAGCAAATAAGACAAAATATCCTGTGACCGAAAGTAGAAGTTTTCTTTATTGAAACCATTTAAAGGGGATTTTAAGTAGTTAAAGAACGGTAAGTTCTGTTTTTAATAAAATCATGGATTATTCCCAATTTTTTTATATATTTTCCCTTTGGATTACAGATACCCCAATTTTAGAAAAACTATCTTGTTTAATCTGCTTCAAATCTATATTGATTAACTTGAGATTTGATTTCATATTCTTTCTCCCCAAAGTATCAGTGTATATTCCAAAACTAAAGACGAAACTGTATTAAAAAGCTTTAATTTGTTTTTCTATTACCTGGGATGCATTGTAATAAACTAATCACAAAAATACACTTTAATTATAAAAACAAACATGAAAAAATAATGCTTTCACAAAAATATAACATCTCGGGTCTATGTCACTATATGTTTTTGTACAATGATGGTAGAGAGTAAGAGAAAAAAAAGTCTTTTTTTTGTGAAATATATTTATAAAGCTCAATATTTAGAAGTTTCAAGGGCTCCTTACTGTCATTAGCCAACTGCTAGCCAATTGCTCGATAATACGCTGATAGCATTATTTGGGATTGCTGTCATTTTTTTTCTTGAAGTAAATGGGCCATGGATCTAAATAAGCAGTAATCCGATGGTGCGAGGTCTGAACTATATGGTGTATGAGGCAGAGTTCTAATTCATGAAGCGCTTTAAACTTTTCTTTGGTTCGACGGGACTATGAGGACGAGCATTATCTTGTTGCAATAAATTTCTTTGTCGGTTGATCAAAGCAGGATAACTCTCTGACAACTTCACATACAATCTTTGTTGTAGTTGTTCGCAGTATAAGTCAGAATTTATAGAGCATCCATCAGGAACAAATTCGTGATGAATAACACGTTCAAAATAAAGAAAAAAATGCAAAGCATATATATTTTTTCGAATTGTCCCCTTGCAACAACCGGAAAAGCAGTTTGACCGCGATCTAGCCATTGCTCACGGGTATGCGAATTTTGCCAGTAAACCCACGTTTCATTATAGGTGACAATTTTTCGGTAAAATTTCATATTATAAGGGGTTTCCAATACATTTTCACAAATTTCTAACCTCTTAGCTGATTGCTGAAGAGTAAGTTCGTGAGGGACCAGTCTTCTGTTCTTTTTCACCTTCCCCATGGAGAGTAGATGGCTACTAAAAGTATTTTTCGACACACCACACTCACTATCAAGTTCGCGAGTACTTGTGGACGGATTTGACTCAACACCTTCCTACAGAATCTCATGAATATCCATTAATAGTCGCCCTTTCCAACGCGTATCTCAACCGCTAAAGTTTGCAAACCAACGCCGCACTGTGTGCTAGTCAACAACACCTTCCCTATTATATTTAATAATTTCACGAGTTACTTCAACGGCTGTGAAATTTTTTTTCCAGTAATGTTTTAAAATGACGAAAATTGTAGGACACTGTCATGTTTCATCTTTGAAACAAATAACTAAACTAAGGTTTTTTTTTAAGAAGTCGAATGGGATTAAACAAGTTTAGAGAATGTTCTAAATAGATTATTATGTATAGGTAAGTATTAAGTAGGATTTTAATATTTTCAGTCCTTTGAAATCTTGAATTTGATAAAATGGTCATTTTCTTTTTTTATACAGCCTATTTTATATATATATATATATATATATATATATATATATATATATATATATATATATATATATATATATATATATATATATATATATATATATATATATATATATATAGAGAGAGAGAGAGAGAGAGAGAGATAATGTATACAATATATATATAATGTATAAGAAATAAAATAAAACAAAGTGGATAATGAGGAAGACAGGGAGGAAGTTGGCATGATCCGCTGGGGGGTGAGAGGGTAGATAAGGCTCCAGCGACTGGAGCGGAGGCCAGTTCAGTTCCAGGCATGGAGCAGTGTGGATCAACCTTCACTTCTCCTCTCTCTATCGAGTATTACGATACTGTGAGTCAACATCTCTAATTTAAACGGTTGATTAACTTCATCTATTCTCCAATAAATTATTACCACAAATACTATGATTGATTTATACCGTTTATAAAAAATAATATCCTACGTGGTACGATGTAATAATCTATGCTTTGGAGTGATGTACTGTGTCAGGTGGATGCAATTTTTTGTTGTTGAAGTGAGATGTATTGTTTTGAATTTCAAAAATTCGATCTTGGCTTTATGTGCTCATACGATATCTGAATTGGAAAAATGTTTGGTTAGTTTTATCGGGTTTTTCTTACAGCTATGTATTTGAAAATTTTCCTGTTATATTCTAGCAATTAAACTGCATTTAGCAGAATTCAGATAACACATTTTTTAAGTAAACTCAATTCTAAGTTGGCCATGAAAATCTGGAATATTTCAAAGAACTATATTTTTTCCCCCTTCACTACCATAATTTTATTAATTCAAAAATATTGCTGTTATATCAATAGATTGATCACTTAACTGTGTTTATTCATTAAAAAAAAAAAAAAAATAGAAACAACGTATTTTATTTCAAACTTTTCTCTCAACTCCGTTATTCCATTCAAGATAACTGAACCAAGAAGCGATCTTTTCAGTTTAAAATTGTAAGCAACAGGCCAATTGAAAACCAATTCTCAATATTGCATATTTTCTGAATTATTTCTATTTCTATTTCTACCTTTCAATTAATTCATATCTCTTTTCGAGTTACTCTTTTCTTTTATATTTACATATCTTCCTACATCTACTTAAATTATAGAAAAAAATTAAATCATTCTGAAAAACTGACATGACAAAAAAAATAAAAAAATATGAAAATTTGAAAAATGAATCTTTGATTCATTTATTTATATACTACGTTTCCTTTACGATTAAAAAGGATAAATAGAAAATCAAAATTCACAAATTACATCAGGTTATTAATTCATAAATTATTTCAGAGTTTTATAAATAATACATTACTTACGTAATCACATTCCACGTAATCACATTCCATGTATTGAGATATAAATGAGCTTTTGATGTTTTGTGGTTAATAATGTTATTATCAGCTACATTTATTAAAAAGGATTTTCATATAATATTATAATTAAAATATCTTAAGTAATTTTTAATAAAAATTTTAACTTACTGTTCCATCTTAGTGCTTTACTTCTTCAAAAAATTTTTTTTTCAATTTTTTAATCGATAAATTTAGAAAACAATAGTTGTGAATACTGACACAATTAATAAAATAATTATTTTAAACAAAACCTTAAGGTAAATTTTGTTATTAAAAACATCGAATACTATAGATTGTATATGTTGTACTACTCCCGTATTACTACTACCTACCAAGCAATCCCATACCACGTGGTTTCACAACATTGTTTATTTTTAATTTTTGCTTCTGCTCTTCTAAATAGCTGATTGTTTAAAAGTGTTCTTGATCCTTTTTAAACTCCATGCTGTTACTTTATACAGTTTGAAATACAATTAAATATCTTTATAATTGTTTATTTTTTGAGGCTGACTAACTGTAGGATCTTGAGTTCATATCAATTAATACAAAGATTGGCATATACCTGTCTAATTAACGTGTTTTCATTACAAAATAATCTCGATACGAAATTCGCATGCAACTAAATTTGTGTCTTAATCATAGGTTATTCACATTTTTTTTTTTTTTTTGTTAAAGTAGGAGAAATATATATTCAGGTAACAAAGGAATTAAGCAATCAAGTAAACAAAAAACTTTAGTAAACAGTGGTAACTGATTTCTTAGAAACGAATTCCAATTCTTCAATTATTAAAGGTAGACAAATTAAGGCAGTAATTTAAAAAAATAATAAAAAAAAATTATTTATTCAGAGTCCATCTTGACGAAAAAATGTCCAATCGTTGTTGGCTTCCATGCCCTAATTTCTCTGGCCCCTTCGTTCTCCTAAACTAATGGCCGATTTCAAATGGATTTATATTTGGAACTTATATGGGATTTCAGGGATGTTATGAAGTAAGGTCAGATTCTTGATAGACGCATTGGCTATCCGAAATTACTAAAATAGAATATTTAATATACCAAGTATCTTTTGTTTTTAAAATACAATGTATTTTAATTACAACGAATAAACATTTTTCAAGAAAAGGTATTTGAAATAAAAAATATCGAAAGGGTTTTGTATTTAATTAAAAACAAAATAATAAAAAAAACTTACTAGTGGACGATCAGCCAATAATAAAGATAACCTACTCTACTGGGTAATTTATTTATTTTATTTGAAATACAATTTTTTTTGTATTTTAGTATCTTTGAAATAAAATACGATTTTTTTTTGTATTTTAAAAGGATAATAAAGTTATAAACAATCTATTTTATATTTTACTTCCTAAAATGCAAACTACAAAAAATATTTTATTTTATTTTTTTTTGACTGAGGTGAAATTGTGAAACTGAGTAAAATATTTTTTTTTTTAAATAATCGCAGTTGAATATTTTAATTTTATTGATCTTCTCATTTTATAATCTGATCTCTGATCTCATTTTAATGATAATTATTAATAATTACACCAGATCTCTTGAAGAGTTTCTAGTTTTATTTGTTTACTGTAACCGTTTCTACAGGGGGTATCAATTTCACTGTGAGCCAATGAATAAATACTCTTAAATTCCGTTCCATTGCTTAATTAGTTTTTTTGTTTAACCGATGATAAAAAAGAAAAAAAATGTTATTATTTTTTTTGGCTGATTACATTGATAATCTCATTTCCAATCAACCTTCCCTTAATATCATGAAATTTTAAATTTTAATTGCATATTGTTAAAATTAGATGAAAAAAGAAATTGGAACAGATAATTCCAACCTTAAAAATGGTCACAAAAACTAAGGTGCGTGCTTTAGATCATACGATAGAACTGAAAACATTAACAAGGCGAGATTAATAATATGAAATATAAATTATAAATTATAGCTTTTTATAAAAAGGATGAAATGCTAACATTTCCCTCACTTACACTGGCTGTGGCGCTCTTACTCATCCTTCGCTGGTTTTAAATAACAGCGAAGTGGTTGAGGGAAAAGCTCAGGGATCTCCTAAGCCAGACTTTTCCCTCAACAAGTGGGGTGACAAGATTGGTTCGGAATTTCTCTGGCACATTGTAAATAGTGAATATAGGAATGGTTGTGTCTAAGATGTTTATTTTACTTTAAGAACATTTTATTTTATTTTTACTTATGCATATATATATATATATATATATATATATATATATATATATATATATATATATATATATATATATATATATATATATATATATATATTTATTTATTTATTTATTTTTTTCCTTTTCTTTTCACTCTCCTTATAATATTTTATCTTGTTTTTATTTCTATGTATTCTTTTGTTATTACTTTACTTATGTGTGTTTCTGTATATAGTGTGTGAATGTGCTCACTGAACTCAATCGCAATTGTCCTTAACTGAGACGGATTGTAATATTTCTCAATGAAAAAAGTTAAAGAAAAAAAAATTGTATTTTTAAATATTATATTTGAAATACTGCACATGTCTGATATAAACTAATACGATTGTTTGTTTGTGATCAGTTTTAAAGGTTAAAATTAAAAAAAAAAAAAAAAAAAAATATTTGTTGGTTTCGATATTCCATAAAAAATATGATGTAGGTCAGATTCCTTTATTCAGGAAGAATTATAACATCTTTTATTTGAATATGTATATTTTTAAATGATGATGAACTGAAGCCTTTTTTCCTTCTTCCTTATATCTAATGAAATGATATTAGCGTGATTTCTAAAATGTTTCTTTGGAAACTAAAAAATATAATCGATAGTAAAAATAAAATATGAAATATTTTTGGCTTTTCAGGTATGCTCACACTCTATGGAATATGTATAAGTAGGTATACGTTTCTAATGTAGAGACCATTAGGAAATCAAAACCTCTTTGCTCCGAGCTCCTTTGACCAGAGAGATTGGATTACCGTTATGGGATGCAAATGAGTTTCAGGTAGCTCGTGATATACTTCATATCCATTCCATGTTCAAATTATTTAAAACAAGTTTCATTCCATTACAAATAAACTGTTCAAATCATACGAATTTTAACTATACAATTAAGCTATACAACTAGAGTCTTGGTCGTATCATATATAGTATATCATTAAAAATAAGCTGTATATTAAACAAAATATCCAACTTTGTGAAGAAATTGATCTCTTAACCATCTCCTTTTTTGCCTGAAAAAAATTTGTTTTTGTAATTATGTTTAAAATTTAAACCTAACTTTTCCTCATATAAAAGTGAATCCTCAACTTATCCTCAGACCAACCTCAACTCAATTATTGTGGACATAATGTTTTTTCCTAAAAGTGGGCGGGGTATCTGTAGTTCAATTGGAGGTATAAAAAAAAAATAGCGAATAATTCATGATTTGTTTTTAAAACATAATTAAGTTTAACTTATCCACACACAAGAGGTTTTAAAATGACAAACTCTGATTTCATTTGAAGTGCATTTTGTCTTCAAATGAAGTAACTGTCAAATTATCTTCAAATTAAGTAATTAGCAATCGCTGATTACTTAAATTGAATTTTTTTAATTGAACAAAAAATGAGAGTTCCTAAAAAAAAAAAAAAAAAAAAACACAGCTTAAATGTATTGCTTTTCTGCAGAACAGAGAATATCTGTAGTACATAAGCCGATTCAGAGAGGGTAAATGCCTCTCTTATTAACCAAGAAATTTTAATTTTTGACTAATTTTATATAATATTCTACATATTTTTATTATAAACAAAACTAAATTTTTTAATGATGAAAAAATTATTTACATTATATTTGGAAAAGGAATGTGTTGCTTCAGACTCCCGAGTTTTCATTGATATCTGTTGTTTGATAGAAATAACTGGCGTCCAACCTTGAACATGGATTAGACAGATAAACGTAGTACGTCATAGAGCCGGAAAAAAAAATCCACATGACCCA